AAAGTGAGTGAGTGAGTGAGTGAGTGAGTGACAGATTGTTCACCTAAGTGAGTGAGTGAGTGAGTGAGTGAGTGACTGCGAGTTAAAAATAGTGAGTGAGTGAGTGAGTGAGTGAGTGAACCTTCTAACTATAAAGTGAGTGAGTGAGTGAGTGAGTGAGTGAACTAACTGCTTWGTAAGTGAGTGAGTGAGTGAGTGAGTGAGTGAATTATACATATCAACAGTGAGTGAGTGAGTGAGTGAGTGAGTGATCCTCTTCATCCCCTAGTGAGTGAGTGAGTGAGTGAGTGAGTGACCACCGCAGCCTATCAGTGAGTGAGTGAGTGAGTGAGTGAGTGATTTGCTTTCTTTTTTAGTGAGTGAGTGAGTGAGTGAGTGAGTGATCCATCAATAGAACGAGTGAGTGAGTGAGTGAGTGAGTGAGTGATGAGAATCAATTTATAGTGAGTGAGTGAGTGAGTGAGTGAGTGACGAAAAACAAGGATAAGTGAGTGAGTGAGTGAGTGAGTGAGTGAAAATAAAAATAACTGAGTGAGTGAGTGAGTGAGTGAGTGAGTGACATGTATGTATTTCAAGTGAGTGAGTGAGTGAGTGAGTGAGTGAATCAGGTTGAACTTAAGTGAGTGAGTGAGTGAGTGAGTGAGTGAGAAGYCGATGTGAGAAGTGAGTGAGTGAGTGAGTGAGTGAGTGATAGTGCTGTATGGCTAGTGAGTGAGTGAGTGAGTGAGTGAGTGAATGTTGMGGGATAGCAGTGAGTGAGTGAGTGAGTGAGTGAGTGAGRCCRACTTGCTTCAAGTGAGTGAGTGAGTGAGTGAGTGAGTGAACAAAAAAAATAAGAAGTGAGTGAGTGAGTGAGTGAGTGAGTGAAATTATGCTCTGTAGAGTGAGTGAGTGAGTGAGTGAGTGAGTGATTTTTCAGCAAACTAAGTGAGTGAGTGAGTGAGTGAGTGAGTGATAATGTTTGTCTTCAAGTGAGTGAGTGAGTGAGTGAGTGAGTGACAGACCAAGAGCCAAAGTGAGTGAGTGAGTGAGTGAGTGAGTGACTCTATACTTGTATAAGTGAGTGAGTGAGTGAGTGAGTGAGTGATCTGATTGGCTGACGAGTGAGTGAGTGAGTGAGTGAGTGAGTGAGGCTTACCGGCAAAAAGTGAGTGAGTGAGTGAGTGAGTGAGTGAAGAAATATAAAACGGAGTGAGTGAGTGAGTGAGTGAGTGAGTGAGGAGTTGAAAAACACAGTGAGTGAGTGAGTGAGTGAGTGAGTGATCACGCTCCTAAGCTAGTGAGTGAGTGAGTGAGTGAGTGAGTGACGTGTTTATATCAGAAGTGAGTGAGTGAGTGAGTGAGTGAGTGATCTTAATTATAAGACAGTGAGTGAGTGAGTGAGTGAGTGAGTGATCCTGCAAGCAGATAAGTGAGTGAGTGAGTGAGTGAGTGAGTGAGTAATTGCAAATGCAAGTGAGTGAGTGAGTGAGTGAGTGAGTGATACACTACAAAAGGCAGTGAGTGAGTGAGTGAGTGAGTGAGTGAAAAGGAACAAAGTTCAGTGAGTGAGTGAGTGAGTGAGTGAGTGATTTAAGGACTTTTCAAGTGAGTGAGTGAGTGAGTGAGTGAGTGATTCAAGGAGCATCAAAGTGAGTGAGTGAGTGAGTGAGTGAGTGAAAACTTCAGCCAAACAGTGAGTGAGTGAGTGAGTGAGTGAGTGATGATAGAGATCCATCAGTGAGTGAGTGAGTGAGTGAGTGAGTGACGAAATTTTCAAATTAGTGAGTGAGTGAGTGAGTGAGTGAGTGAGAGTTTTCAATTCAAAGTGAGTGAGTGAGTGAGTGAGTGAGTGAGGACCCTGAAAGTTAAGTGAGTGAGTGAGTGAGTGAGTGAGTGATCCTACACGCACTGTAGTGAGTGAGTGAGTGAGTGAGTGAGTGAAGACAGTCATCAGGAAGTGAGTGAGTGAGTGAGTGAGTGAGTGACTTGACAGGCGATTTAGTGAGTGAGTGAGTGAGTGAGTGAGTGATCACCTGAAAAGACAAGTGAGTGAGTGAGTGAGTGAGTGAGTGATGCACATAACTTCATAGTGAGTGAGTGAGTGAGTGAGTGAGTGATCTTGTTCTAATTTTAGTGAGTGAGTGAGTGAGTGAGTGAGTGAGGCTTTGATCCCAATAGTGAGTGAGTGAGTGAGTGAGTGAGTGATCCTGGCATCTTTGCAGTGAGTGAGTGAGTGAGTGAGTGAGTGAAAATGTTACAAAGTGAGTGAGTGAGTGAGTGAGTGAGTGAGTGAACAGGGTTTGTGCTAAGTGAGTGAGTGAGTGAGTGAGTGAGTGAAAGTACTTTTTAAGAAGTGAGTGAGTGAGTGAGTGAGTGAGTGATGAAGATGTTTTTTCAGTGAGTGAGTGAGTGAGTGAGTGAGTGATCAAGCCACATTTCAAGTGAGTGAGTGAGTGAGTGAGTGAGTGATAAATCCAGGACTTTAGTGAGTGAGTGAGTGAGTGAGTGAGTGATGTATTTAAGTTATAAGTGAGTGAGTGAGTGAGTGAGTGAGTGAAGAGGGGTCGAGTCAAGTGAGTGAGTGAGTGAGTGAGTGAGTGACTTTTACATAAGTACAGTGAGTGAGTGAGTGAGTGAGTGAGTGAAGTTATTGAATTTATAGTGAGTGAGTGAGTGAGTGAGTGAGTGATGTATTAATCAACTGAGTGAGTGAGTGAGTGAGTGAGTGAGTGACATAATGATGGCTGTAGTGAGTGAGTGAGTGAGTGAGTGAGTGACTTTCTCAAAACGTTAGTGAGTGAGTGAGTGAGTGAGTGAGTGAAAATCCAACACAATAAGTGAGTGAGTGAGTGAGTGAGTGAGTGATAGGAATATAATTTGAGTGAGTGAGTGAGTGAGTGAGTGAGTGAGCAGAGAAATGTTACAGTGAGTGAGTGAGTGAGTGAGTGAGTGAGCTCCTGAAAATGCAAGTGAGTGAGTGAGTGAGTGAGTGAGTGAGGCAAAAATTGTATCAGTGAGTGAGTGAGTGAGTGAGTGAGTGAACAACGCCATATGAAAGTGAGTGAGTGAGTGAGTGAGTGAGTGAAAAAACACAACTGGAAGTGAGTGAGTGAGTGAGTGAGTGAGTGAAAGATATGTAATTAAAGTGAGTGAGTGAGTGAGTGAGTGAGTGAGAATTGATTTCTTTTAGTGAGTGAGTGAGTGAGTGAGTGAGTGATCCTTTCAAAATCCGAGTGAGTGAGTGAGTGAGTGAGTGAGTGAGGACATTGTCCTTTGAGTGAGTGAGTGAGTGAGTGAGTGAGTGACATCTTTCTAGCACCAGTGAGTGAGTGAGTGAGTGAGTGAGTGAGAGGTTCCCCTCTCTAGTGAGTGAGTGAGTGAGTGAGTGAGTGACTTTAGCTAATAAGAAGTGAGTGAGTGAGTGAGTGAGTGAGTGAATACAATCAAAACAAAGTGAGTGAGTGAGTGAGTGAGTGAGTGAACGTTTGACTTCCTCAGTGAGTGAGTGAGTGAGTGAGTGAGTGAGGTACCTAACAATAAAGTGAGTGAGTGAGTGAGTGAGTGAGTGATTGTTTTTTTATCATAGTGAGTGAGTGAGTGAGTGAGTGAGTGATTCACTTAGTACTTTAGTGAGTGAGTGAGTGAGTGAGTGAGTGATTCACTCCAAGATTTAGTGAGTGAGTGAGTGAGTGAGTGAGTGAATCATTTTGTTAACAAGTGAGTGAGTGAGTGAGTGAGTGAGTGACCCTGGCGAGGTGGAAGTGAGTGAGTGAGTGAGTGAGTGAGTGAATATGCCCCTTGTTGAGTGAGTGAGTGAGTGAGTGAGTGAGTGACCATAAATGAACCTTAGTGAGTGAGTGAGTGAGTGAGTGAGTGATGAGGGGCCTGCTGCAGTGAGTGAGTGAGTGAGTGAGTGAGTGATGGACCCTGTTGATAAGTGAGTGAGTGAGTGAGTGAGTGAGTGACTGTAGGATATGCACAGTGAGTGAGTGAGTGAGTGAGTGAGTGATGTTGCCGAGAGGGCAGTGAGTGAGTGAGTGAGTGAGTGAGTGAATATGGACCCTGATTAGTGAGTGAGTGAGTGAGTGAGTGAGTGACTAGTTGGAACATTCAGTGAGTGAGTGAGTGAGTGAGTGAGTGAATAAAGTAAACACATAGTGAGTGAGTGAGTGAGTGAGTGAGTGATATCAACTTTAGTTCAGTGAGTGAGTGAGTGAGTGAGTGAGTGAAAATGACCATCACAAAGTGAGTGAGTGAGTGAGTGAGTGAGTGAACATGTCTGCTAAATAGTGAGTGAGTGAGTGAGTG